GGGGGGGGGGGCTTCGACCTGAAAAATCAGGGGTTAGGATTTGCACCCGATCGAAAGAAACCTTGCTATCGCAAGAGTAACTCCAGCTAGCTTCGCTAGCTTTCGTGATAGGGATGTATATAGGGTAATGAAATGTTCATTACCAGCAATAGCCAGCGAGCAAGGGAGAGCATTCAAGCACAGAAGCAACAAGAAAAAAGCTGAGGCGGCAGCAAAAGGAACCTTGTTAAATGGACCCCACATACAAGCTAGCCATTTAGGCACCCTATGCACTGAAGCACTGGAGGCACCATTCACATGAAACACGATTGTCCACATTTGGCTTCTGGCCTGCGCCAGCTCCTCACCCTTTTCAGCCATCCAACGCGCCCCCTCAGCGGCCTCATCAGAAACACCCATAGCCATAGTAGAAGAAAAGCTCCAATCAAATAATTTCTATATACATTCGTGCCGTAGTACCGTAGTCGTAGAGGTGGTTTACACTGGCACGCTGTGTCAAAATACTTGAGAGAGAGCACCCTGAAATCGAACCAGTGTGCCAAATACTTGTTGGTCTCGTGGCGGCAAGTGGCAGCCAGTGGAGCAATGCAAGTCAATTCGATTCAATCTCCACCGTACTTGGGGATGCGGCAACATGAAAGCCCTCCCTGAAGAGCAGCATCACAGACCTGAGCTTTTAGCGAGGTGATGAGGACACATGAGGCTGTGGGCACTACAACGGGAGCATAGTGACTAGTGCTTTAGACGGCAGATTGCCACTTGCTTGGGAGGTTGAAAAAGTTCCGTGACTCTTAGGGCATGTGGCAGAATGGCACGACTGCCTGCACAGAGCCTGCAGCATCGGTCCTCCACATCGTGCTTCTGCTAAGTCGAAGTGAGCTACTGAGGGCTTGACATATCTTTGCAGCTCTGTTGATCGCTCAGTGGCTCATCTCTTGATGCCTCACACGACCCCTTGCCAAGCTGCCCGCCAGGGCATCAGACTTCTGATGTAGCATACTTTGTTTGCAGTCCGAACCAACCATTCAAGCAGTCAAGGGGGCAAATTGGCAAAGGGGCCAAAGGTGTAAATGCAATGTATACAGTAATCCTTCCGTCATCGGGCAAAATGGTCAACCGGGAGTGAATGCATTTAGTACGTGAAGAATGTACGTTCACTGTTCTACTGATCTTCCGAATCCTAGACCTCGTGTTCTACAACAGCTGAGAGTGCCAGGCCGTTTTGCCCTTGGAAATGAGGCGGAGCTCGGACCTGCAGCGGTTGAATTTGATGAAATTTATCCAGCCAAACATAGCACAAATCAACTTCAATTTGGTGGTGCCCACTGTGCCTGCTGACAAATGACTACGCCACGACATGAACAAAGAGGCGAAAATGGCTATATGCCACAATGGAAAGCAATTAGGCCCCACACGACGGAATTCCTGGCGGCAGCATTTGCGCTGCCAAAAAATCTGCCAAGTCACCGAAGGTGGCCTGCCGCTCCATGTTGCATTCCGAAGTTTGACGCGCTTTAGGTGATGGAGCTGAAGCAAGGCCATCAGCTAGGCCATCAGCTCAGGGGAAGCCGGTTAAAGCATGGACTCAGTGTCAAGGAAGGAGAATTTTGCTACAGCACATGGTTGTGGAGAAGTGTTACCAATGTGACAAAAACAGGGCGGACTATTTCTCTGCATCTCAACCGGTCAAGCCTCTTTTAAGCCTTGTGGAACTCGAACTTTATATCGATGTCTCCTCCGCTGCGACAAAGCGGGCACGTAAATTGTGATGGGGAGTTCATTCTTGGACACACGGATGCATAGGTGCCCGCGCAGGAAAGAGAAAGAGAGAGAGAGAGTAATGAATGAAGAGAGCAGGGCGGCAAAGAAGTCTACCTGGCACGAACTGGACACCTGCTAGAGAGGTGCGGACGCAGTCGGCGTAATGTGCTGGACTGTGCTGGCCTCAGGTGTGTTTTGGGGTCGCAGTTCTGTAGGAACCTGATTGAAACGCAATGGCAGGTTGGAAAGTTGGTACAGAACTAATTGGATGGATTCAAAGCGCATTGCCAGGGCTGTGGAAGATTGGCGCAAGGTGACATTCAGTGGTGCAGAGTGGAGATGGATCGGCGCATATCTGAGCAATACCGATCACGAGGCATCTCAGTGGCGATGCATCCATCTAGTGTGGGTCCGTGAGTGGTGGTGCGCGCTGGTGTTCCAAAGGGAGACCCCGCTCCGTCCAAGATGCAACGCACAAAGCAAAGCACCTTGCATCATCACTGGATATCGCACCATGACATGATCACTACTTTTCAAACTTCCGCCCCACTGGCTGCCCCTGAGCTCAAAACGATAAAAAAAAATCCAAGATTCGGGAGGCAAGGTCTTGCTTGGACATTGGGTCCCATCTTGTAAGGCCCCAGCCCTTGGCGGACCAAGACGGATGGCACAGCCTGCCGCAGGGTTACCGCTCCCAACTGCCCTGCGTCCCAACCATCCAAAATATTCCAAAATCACGTGCACAAATGGTGATCACCCTGTGGTATCTATACTGTATCTGTTTCTCTATTTGTGTATCTACTGTATACTTGTTGAGTTGGTTCATTATTTACACCCAAGGGGCCTGCTATACATACTGAAATTGAAAAATTCAAAACTGGTTCGAACTGAAATGAATGATGTGTTCAGAACTACGACACACAAACGGAAAAGGGCTCGAACAGAACCACGTGCAAAGTCGCCGTGACAATAAGGATCTTCATGGTCATTGAACATCAAAGAAATTATCTATGAGCCTCTGGAAGAGGAATATGCTCGCAACACATGGCCGGCCAAATCGGCTGCCCAACGAACTGTGTGTATGTATATGCGTTTTTCATCTACACAGACTGTAATATATATATATATATATATCTGTGTGTGTGTGAGATTACCTGAGAAGGGAGGGACGAAAGCCAGCCTCTGAAGAAGACATCAATATGGTCATGGGGGGTGAGTGCAAGAGAGCACTGGAAGCGCTGTGGGGCATGGGGCCCATAAAAGGCAGAGGAAGCTTTGTCAAGGGGTGAAGTCGACATTGCAGCAACGCCGACGGGGAACTGGCTTGCCTGCAGTTCGTGATTCGTGTCTTGTAGATGGAGGTAGAAAACTTGGCGCGCCGCCAAGTGCGGACCGATGGAAGTCTACTGCACAAAGATCATGTGATTGCCTAAAATGACGGAAAGATTGCTGTGGAGATCTCATCGCCTAGGCTATTGGCTGGCTACTGGGACCTAGGATCTGTACATGGTTTTTTGGTGGGGGTTGACCCTTTCTCAGCCAGATCACGTGGATAAATTTGAGAGGCTGGTGTTCAAATTCATTCAGGCAAAAAAGAAGACGTCAACAATGACAATGGACATCACTCAGACTGTGAACAGGCTTTCAGCCAGAACACATGGATGGAAACCTAGAAAACAACATCCAGACACACCAGAAAACAATAGAAATACAGTAGAAAGAGTTTTGGGGAGGGCGGTGTGGCAACTGGAAGCTGGAGATGCTGGTTGTGCAAGGAGCCCGCCCTGCATAGCTCGCATTTTTGCGACCTCAAAAATCAACAAAACTACTAGGACGTAAGTTGTCTTATTGTAGATTTGGGGCGCCAAGTTGTCCTAAGGGTTGACTGCTTGGGCCCCGAGAAGGTCAACCAAAGCCAGGTTGACCCATTGGAAGGGGCTGGAACAGTCAACCGCGGCTCCAGCCCGTAGGCTGGGGATTATTTCAAGGGACAGACACCCTTTTTAGGTAGGTCACAATTTCAGGTTGCGGTTGACAGCTGGAAGGACTTAAATATGATTGAAAATGTTCAGAGGCTGGCACCCGGATAAAGCCTTGGGTCAGACGCCATGGATTTTATCCACCCAATACAGCCCCCTATTCTAGAGCAGGCGAGCATGGGCACGGACGCATGTTCATCTTTTGCAGCGCATCCCTGACTTTCTCCCTGCGGTGCTCTGACCTTCTTTTCTGCAGTGCGATTCACTGACCAGCCCGTCACATGTGCGCCCGCTGGAAACTCAATTGCATACAAGAATGTCAGTTGTAGGGCAACATGTACCTGTATCCCTGTAATCCTTTCCGCGTCTCTTCCGCAGCGTTGGTGGCCACCCCGGGCAGAACAATTCGGCAAGGGTTGAGTTCCTTTAGACTTTCCAGGCGTCATCGTCACTATCTTGCGCAGTAACGTCCGTCGAGAGCGATAATGCGGCGGAACACGTGCCAAAGATTGTCCAGCCCCAAGCAATTTATGTACAGCAAATGGATTTAAAAATGTTTGTTTCCAACCTCTTTTCCTGTCACGTTGCCCCCTTGCGTCTCCTATCCACTCTAGGGGTCACGTTCTCTCTACTCACTACTCCTCTTACTCCTCTTACCCACGGGAACACAGAGCGCTGAGTGACGCACTTCTCGCTTCCCTTATGAGCTCCTCACCTCTTTTCCTATCACTTCCTCCCCCGCTATGCTTGTCCTCCATATGACCATATGAACTCCCACCCCATATCGGGTGTCCTTTGCGTCTGGTTAACCAGCCTCTTCACCATCAAAAAAGGGCACCCCCCAAGCAAAGCTATCCCCCAGCAACTCAACGCATGCCCACTGCATTCTGTTCCCTCTCCTGTCCTCAACGGGTCACATCGTTTCTTGCAAGCCCTTCCACTCATATTAGCCACAAGAAAACAAAGTGTTGGGAGACGCGCATCTCACTGTCCTGAAAGAATTCCAACCACTTTGCAGTCCCGCTATCCCCCTTGCCTGTCCTCAACATGAACTCCCACCCCAGGTCGGAGACTGCTTAAATAGCCTCCGGAACCCTCATGATGCTGATGATACACTTTTCAGCATCAATTGCATCTTGGGCCGCCTCCTTTTTTGCTCCCCCCCACCCCCACCAGGCTCTGGGCTCACCCTACCACATTGTCCCCCTACACGACCACCCCCCATACCCCCTCATTCGGCCAGGGGCCCACCCCAACTTGCCGTGGCATCTTGAAGGGTTCTCCTCTCCGAAGGAGAGAGGGGCTGCACCCCCTGCTGCCGACCCACCGCCGACCCAGGCAGGGCACCCTACGCTACCGTGCTTTACAATGTCTTTTTGCGCGTGGTGTTTGAAAACATCGTTTTACAGTGTTTCGTGCGCTTGGATGGGGCCGGATTCTAACTTTGCGTGTGAAAAAATCGTTGTTTTTACCGGGTTTTGGCCTCGGACAAAGGGTCCGGGACGGAAAAAAATTGCATCTTGATGCCAGGTCAACATAGATGGAAAACCGACGGAAAAAATGCTAGACGCACCGGCGCGCGTAACCTGCACCGTGGGCCCCTGGCCGGCTGTCGCGAGTCAACCCTTCAATAATGGTAACATCCCAGTAATAGACTATTTGACAATCGCAATTAGCTTTTTGGCCTGCCAGAACTTTACAATACTAGTTTTTATGGCGCCAACATCCAGGCCTGAAAACTGATAAAAGTTTGATTCCTCAATTGTAAATCTATGTCAAAACGAAAGCAGAATGGAAGCTAAATGAAACCAAATGAAAACAAAATGAAAGCAGCACGAAAGCAAAACGAAAGCAAATGCAAGCAGAATGAAGGCAGTAGTAGTACTAGTACTATATACTAGTACTAGTACTGCTACTGCTACTCCTACTCCTACTGCTACTCCTACTGCTACTACTACTACTACTACGACTACCACTACGACTACGACTACGACTACCACTACCACTACCACTACGACTACTACTACTACTACTACTACCACTACTACTACCACTCCCACTCCCACTCCCACTCCCACTACCATTACCTACTACCTACTACCTACTACCCACTACCTACTACTACCTGCTACCTACCTACCCACCTACTACCTACTACCTACTACCTACTACTTACTTATTACTACTACTACTACTACTACTACTACTCCTCCTCCTCCTGCTGCTGTGCTGCTGCTGCTGCTCCTGCTGCTATTACTACTACTACTACTACTACTACTACTACTACTACTACTACTACGACTACTACTTCAACTGCTACTGCTACTGCTACTGCGGCCCCGTCAACACTCATCTTCTGACTTTCTATACCCCGTTCAATACTGCTGCTGCTGCTGCTCCTACTACTACTATTATTACTACTACTACTACTTCTTCTTCTTCTACTACTACTAGTACTGCTACTGCTACTGCTAGTGCTACTGCTACTGCTACCGCTACTCCTACTACTACTACTACTACTACTACTGCTACTCCTACTCCTACTCCTACTCCTACTGCTACTGCTACTGCTACTGCTACTGCGGCGACTACTAGTACTAGTACTAGTACTAGTACTAGTACTAGTACTACTACTACTACTACTACTACTACTACTACTACTACTATTATCCCCTCTGCCAAATGGCCTGGAGGTTTTTTGTTAAGGTTCAGAGTTTTGACTAGCCCGAAAAATGAAAATATTTTTCATAGGGGGGATTACTAATGCGATCGACAACTCCAGCCTAGCCTATCGGCTGGCTTTCGTAATATAAGCCAAAGGATATGTTTCGGTCGCGTCCAAGGTGAAAATGAATTAGGGGCACATGCACCCCCTCACCGTCACTTCCTCAATCGCATCTGATCTCCCATTGATCGTGTGGCCCATGGTGTAGTTGCAGCAAAACCTTGGGCCCTTGCCCTTGCTGCTGTTTGGTTTGTCGGGCCAGGGTTTTTCTGGAGCTCTTTAGCGCTCGCCTCAAGTGGCAGGACAAAGGATTCCTTGTCGCGCTATGGGCTGAATTTGCAGTCCATAAGACATGTTCACCTCACCTAAGAAAGGGCCGGTTCTTTGCATCCCAAATTGCTCACAGCGCCCCCTTCAGCGTCACTGCCCGGTAAAGTTAGATGTCTGACTGGTTCAAGACAAACCTACTGCATCATGGAAGACTTGTCCATCAACTGAGGATGCCCGTCAACCCCAACTTCTCGACACAATCCTTTAAGAATGTCTGCGTGAATGAGTTTAGCGTTTTGGGCCTTCCTTCACGCAAAGGATCTGTTGTTGCAAGTGCAAATGGAGAATGTTGGCAAAGCGGAACCATCAATTACCCGCACTCAGCATTCATTACCTCTGGCCCTGACCATTCTTCGGCATGCACTCGGAATGGCGTGTCCCTTTCTTGCTTTGTGTTCCAGATTTTGTGCCATGTTTGTCTTAATTCCCTCTTTATATAAACAAGGATGGCCATGGCGATGTTGGCCTCAAAAGGCGCGGCCAAAGGGATGTTTGTGTCGGCGCTTATGTTGCTCACACTTCATGCTCACAATCGCACCTTTTTTTGGCTGGCCTGGGCCATGGCCCCGGTAGCCCCTGGAAGCTCCCCCTCCAGCTCGACGGCTTCAGCTTCAGCCTCACATGAGGCATTAAACTATTAAACTGTCTGTCGACTATTGACTAACGTTCTTCACGCTCTCTTCCAGGTGCTTAGTCTAGCGGAATCCAGCTGCAAGTCTGGCCTTTTTCGAACGCTTGCTCCTCCAATCTCCCCACGTGTGCCTCCTCAGGCTCTGGAGCCACCTCTTGGCTTGCAGACGCTATTGGCGCCGCCGGCATGCTGTAACCCGGCGCAAGCCTCAGCAAACCGTGGCACCCCGTGCCCTCAATTTCACCAGATAGGGACAGACAGACAGACAGACAGACAGACAGCCAGGCAGAGACAGAGACAGAGACAGAGACAGCGACAGCGACAGCGACAGCGACACGGACACAGACACAGACACAGACACAGACACAGACACAGACAGACAGACCGACCGACCGACCCCGAGACCGAGACCGAGACAGAGACAGAGACAGAGAGTGACACAGGCAGGCAGGCAGCAGGGAGTACTCTCTGTCCTGTCGACGGAGGAAGCTCTCGTGCTCTAACTTTGTTTTTGGTTTTCGGTTCTCAGTATTCCTCACTTTGGTTCTAAGTATTCTCAGTGCTTAGCTTCTAAGTAGAACGTTTTGCCGCTATGCGTGTGCACTTGCAGTTTCTTGGTGGAAGAATGTGATTCATTTTCTGGATTTGGTTCCAACTATGTGTCTGTCAATTTACACACAAACAAACAGACAGACAAACAGACAAACCAAACTAAAAAACAGGTCGTGCACCTCGCACAGCCCCTCGCAACAAGATTTCCCTGACATTCCCCCTCGCGCCACTGCCATTGCCACCCCCCAGGGCATCTCAGTTTTTGTCAGCGATCGAAGTGGAAATGGGGAGGGCACAGGCTTTTCCAACGACAAGCGCGCTTACCAGCTCGACTTGCCCATTATCCTTCCAGATCCTCACCACCAAGGTCCTTTGTTTTTCCAGGCCACTCTTCTAGTCACCTTCTACGGCAAGGTCATTTCGCCTTGGACATCGGCCAGAACGTGGTCGGTGAAGTGATCATGACTCCGTGCAGAGCCTATACCGTTTGTAAGGGTTCACAATGCTGAAATGGCATGTGGACAAACAAAAGGTAGACCCTAGAAGCCAGGCAAGGGCGAAGGAAATTGCCCAACGCCTCTCTGGCCAAAGATTCTTCCCACCCCTTCAGCATTAGGCTGCGACAGAAGACCATTGCCAACACGAGCAAACAACAGCGACAACAACACCACAGCGCCGCCAAGCCTTGATACCCACCTCCAATGAGTGCATGCAGTTGGTGGGTCAAACGCACCAACTCAAGTGGAGGGTGTCACTGCCGACCCGGACAATTCACCCCTTTCAATACTCAGCTGGGAGCGATGCTGACAGAACTTCAACAACAAGAACTGCAGGTTTCCTAAAAAGCACAGTGGTCCGCGGACGACGTGGAACGCAGCTTCCTGCAGAGCCCATAGCCAGACAGTTTGGGTACTGGTGCCCGTTGAAGTTAATACATTTTGCATGTGGGATACTAAACCACCATGGAACGCCGATTTGCAAAAGTCAGTATTTAAGTCATGACTGCTGGCCTTCCCCATTGTAAACGCTACATACAGAACAAGGTTCTCCAGATTCACCTTTCCAAAAAGAGAAAACTTCAACTGCAAATCCCAATGGCAACGCAATTTGGAGAGCCGGGATGGAGTCTCATATGACGCGCTGTAAGCTACATGGAGCTGCAGGCAGTTTCCAACTGGTCCGGTCCAATCAGTCACGCACGTTGGCCAAGAACACCCGCTTTGAGAGACCTATCATTTTAACCAGTTGCGTTGACCGACTTTTGGATTGCCGAAGGCTCTTAAATATGATCGAATTCGACCTGGCCAATCAGTCAAATCACCAAAAGCATGGAGTCACACTTTTGGCTGACCTCTCCAGTTTCTGTGATGCCATCGAGCTGGACCGACTTGCAGCCAGCGGAGAACGGTGGCTGCTGGCTCACCAGCTTTTCAGCCCTTCACCGCCGCTTTCCCTCAAGTACGTCTCTGGTGGCTTCGATGAGGTGAGTGCTGCCTTGTGCCATTCCCATCACACCTGCACGTTCCACTTCGTTGCTAGCAGGACTGCGGCGAAAACGTGAACTACAGTAACCCTCCACACTCCCCTTGCGCCCTTTAATTGCAATGGTCGACACACAAGACCAAGCCAACCTGCAGGTACCACCCTGAAAGGCTGGCAGGCCAGCAAACTTCAGGACAGGCACTTAGGCCAATCAAGGGGAGGGCGGGCTGGGTTTTGCAGCTATGCCACCTGAAGACAAGGGAGCAAGGAAGGAGGAGGGTTAGTGTGCTGGTGCACTTGGGCAGCAGGCTAGCCTTGCACGTTGAACACATTTGCACCCTCTTCTTTTGAATGTCATGTGCTGTGTCATGCCAATTGCAAATTGCATTTGTCCAGAGTTTGTGGCTTCTCTACACCAATTGACTCAATCTTGCGGCACATGTGACCCACATTTCTGAAGGTAACCAAGATCTCCTAAAGCCACCATGACCATGGCATCCGATGTACCAAGGGCATCACATTAGCATCAGCTTGCTTTTCGCCCCCACTCCAGCGCTTCCAAGCCTTTCAGCGTAACTAGAAAATCCTTCAAAATGATAGAAGAAAAATGAAAAGAGGAAAAGATGCTAAGGGCCTCATTAGTAATGCCCCCTTTAAAGGAGCCTTGTTATATAGACCTGTACTACAGTGACTCTGAGGCCGAAGACGTCTCCTTCCCATCCTTGCGCTCTCGGCCATTGCAGAGCAGCCGTTGCCTTGGTGGAGTTTTAAAGTTGTAGCTGTAGAAGTGCTACTAACATAGCAAGAGGTGGCATGGTTCACGCACCCTCTGCCAGCTAGAGGTTTTGGAAGTTGACCACTTTGCAAGGGACAAGACTTTTGGCAGTGTTCTCCGGCCAGCAACGCACAGGACCGAATTGCCGCAGAATGTCTTCTCTCAGGGTGAGCAACCTGCACACTCGACGCCTTTGACGATCAAGTGAGTGAAGTGCCCTCAGTGCCTTCAAGCCAAAAGAATGGCTGCCAATTGTCCAAACCAACAGGTGTTCGCAAGGATTACAGTGCCCATTCAGATCCTTCATCGCACTGCCCAAGAGTCCTGATGTGCAAATTTGCACACTCCTACCAGACTCCTCCCCTCAACGCACGATCCATCTATTGCCCCTGACTCGCTAGTCTGAAACAATCGGCCTATGGTGTGGTGGGCAGCCTTCGAACGCAACCCTCACACACACTTGAGATATTGTGTACGGAACTGAATGCGGTGCCACACTCCGGCCTAGGGTTCCATTTCCTAAGAGAACAGGTAGGGAAATCTAAAGAAGAAGAAGAGGTCCATCCAACGGAGGTCCCAAAGGTAATCAACGAGCGAGCGGACGACAGGGCGACGACGGTTCGAGGAGGTCAGTGAAGCTCCCAAGGTCCAAGCACTCAAGGAAAACCAACGCTGCAGTAGCCCTTTGCTGAAGGAAACAACGAAGTAGACAGCTTGTGCTCTACGTAGGTTTCTCTCTCGGCAGGTACGTCAATCCGGCGTCCCGGATTGATTTCACAGATGCAGCACTGGCGTCTTCGTTGGTGCCAGTCCAGTGCGCATCCCTGGCACCCCCTGCTGTAAAACAAAACAAATGCAAAAGCATCCCTATGACTCCAAGGGTGACACACACACGCCTCCCCGAAGGGAGGCAAGATTTTAAGCTCCATGCCGAAGGTAAGGTGAGACTAGGAGAACTGACGGATCTCACGGTAGGTCTGGTAGGCGGTCTATTCAGCAGAAAGGCCCAGTGGACGTACCCATCGAGAGTTGACGAAGCAAAGGACGAGGTCGACAAGGGTGCAGGTGTGTGGAACTTCCCATACTCTTGAATCGCCAGTTGAAGGAAGAGCCATCCAGAATGCGGTTCGATGTTGGCCTAAGTGGGAGTAGATCACATCTTTGAGATCATCAACAGTGTATTCCTTGGTGTCGATCTGCCGACAATCTAAGGTCACATTGATGTAGTTCAGGGGTTGGTAGACGAGTAAGCTGACATCCAGTTCAAAGCGGACCGTGGAGAGGTCCGGCACCATATCCAGTGTTTCAAAGGGTTGACGAACTTCGCTCCATGACGTGCGAGATGTGGGAATCGTGTGTGTCAAAGGTTCAGGTACACGAAGCCCAGGGGATGAAATCATGATAGAGACAGGCGCGGAGGTGAGTCGGAGCCGATGGCTGCAGAAAAGAATGGCAGGAAATGTGGAGCAAAAGGATTGGAGGTAGAAAACCGAAGAACCCGTTACAATCCTGAGTGAACACCCGAATAAAACCAAGCGAGAAAGAGAGGAGGATCTTTTCACGCCAATGCGAAGAGGGTTTGCCGTGTAGGGAAACGATGTAGAGCTCAGGCTGTTGTCAATCATGAGAACGTTCCAGAGGAAATGGAGGCTCTAAAGTGTTCTGAGATTCAGTCGATGTGGAGTTCAACGACATAGATGCTGAATCGGGTACAGGAAGCGGAAGTCCGGTGCCATCGCGAATGGGATCAGTGTGAGGAAGGTGGTCAGGAGGAGCCGAAGAGGCCGCGGTTGAATGGCCGGGTGGATCATCTGGTCGAAAAGATTGATGAAGCTCATCGCGGTAAGTAGTGAGGGTGTGGACGACACCAGCGATAAGCTGTTCTTGTTGTGGGGCGGGTAGGCCCTGGAGCATTGGAACCTTAGAAACGTCAAGATGCTGGAAATTGTGCAGAAGAGCTTCCACCTGGTACTGAGCGTTGAGGTGCTCCAAGTTGTCCACAGCCTGTCTCTTGAGGCCTCTGCGAGGAACAGGGTTGTCATCGAGTTGCTGGGTGGAAGAGAAACGTGCTTCTTCAGCTGCAATGCGTTCCTCTTCAATACGAAGAGCGGCATCATATCGCTCGCATTGTGTCCAAATGTCAAAACTCTGAGTGGCAGAAAGCACTAATTGCCAGCCCCGGGCGCCCCAAATGCGTGAGAAAGTATGTGGCCAATGAGAAGCTGGGTGATCATCGATGAAATGCCCAGTTGCAGATTTGTAAAATTCAATGTGATCGTGATCCCAAGGCAGAGTTTTGTGGTGGAACCAAGCGCGATAGAACCAGTAGCGTTGAGTGTGGGATCGTCGACAGGTCCATTCCTCGTATGGTTCAGCCACGGGCCAATCACCGTGAGTTGAATTGTGGACTTGACGAGCGTAGTCGGTGAAGTCCTCGTTGTACTGATTCTCAGAGCGAGGGATGCTCGACAAAAGAGCAGGGTCCAATTGTTCTTGCTGAGGAGGTAGGTCATCAGGAGGAACGTGCGTAGGAGAGGATTCTTCTGAAGGGACACGAACATCTTCTGGTTGAAGTTCCATAGTGCCGATCGAGTCAGGTAAGGAGCGAACCGAAATAGAACCGAAAAGCTGCGGGAGAGGTGAGAAGTGAAGAAAAACGTGTACTGGGGGAGGATTGGCAATGAAAGTGAGTAGCAATGTGAGGCAGTATTCCAAGTGAGTCAACAGTTATTTTCCAGGAAGCAATGGTTCGAAGTAGCGAATTGGAGTGAATTAAGGTGTAGCCTCAGGCAAGCGAAAAGGTCGATTTGGCCGGGGAATCAGAAAAGGTATCTCCTCACCGTTGAGCTTGACAAGTAGTCCTACCAAAGGTCGGTCGGCATGACTCCCACGAGAAGGTGTACTCGAGCTCGAGGAATGGAGAGAGGTAGATGTGGTCCTCAGTGATGTAGGAGGTGTTGTCGGACGAGCTTTCTTGGGAAAGTTGGTAGAGATGAGGATAGGTTCATCTGAGTCCCGGAGGTGGGAGGCCATAGATGGTCGAGAGCGTTTGATAGCTGTCGTAGATGGTGTGGACATCTGAAGCTTGAAAATCGCAGTGGAAAGCAGTGAGACGAAACTTGGGCCAAGAGGCTGCGTCGAGACGGAGAAGTATAATAAAAGAAAGGTGAAAGGGCAAAAGGAAAGGAAAGAAATAGGATAAAGGATAAATCAGCAAATATCAATAGGACGCGGCAGCGGTCCTTTTCAATCGACGAAAAAGTGGGGCAAACGTCCGAGGTAAAGATTATGATGTAGCCCGTCGTTGTAGTTCGAGAAGTTCAGCCCAACGAGCGCGGATCTGGGACTCTGGGCGCTCCATTTTGGTAGTGATGTAGCGCCAACTGGGTCGAAGTCTTTCGTTGCATTTGAGGCTGAGAAGAAGGTCATCATCTTTGGCGCTCCAATCGTCATCCCAAGAAGTGGCTGAGTGGTGTCGAGGGGATGGAGAAGGAGAGGGAGAGGAAGGGGGAGGGCGGCGTTTGCGAGGTCGAGAGGGAAGGGGGCCGTGGGGGGCAGAGGAGACAAGGGAGCAGGAGGGGGAAGGGGAAGGGGGAGGAGGAGGGGCCAAAGAGGAGGGGGGTGGATAAGCGAAATCAGGAGGAGAGAGAATGGGTGAAGGAGGAAAGGACAGTGGGGGAGGGGAAGAGGGAGCGGTCTCCTCGGCGGCCCGGAGGGAAGGGGAAGGGATGGGAGAAGAAGGAGGGGTGAAAGGAGAAGGGAGGGGAGCGGAAAAGGGGGAAGATGGGGGGTGGGGAGAAGTGTGCTTCCTGGCTGATGAGGTCAATGTCGGCGATGGAGTCTTCTGACAAGGCACCGAGAGTTCCGGCTGTTCACAAGGTGCCCAGTTGATCGAAGACAGCGTGGTCGTACGAAATGGCTGTGATGCCGGACTAGCATGTGGTCTGGAAGGGCAAGAGCCAGGACTCATAGCCACAGGAGAGGTAGAATCCGGATTCTGAATCATCTCAACCAGTAAACGGAGTGCAACGATAACGATGTTGAGTTGCGTCGCAATTGTAGAGACAAGATCGGAGGTGGTAGATTGCGACATAGCCCAGGTAAAGTCCAGTTGAGGGTGTGTGCGTTTGAGCCGAGAAGCTAAGAGGAGGCGGAAAGAAAGGAAGAGAAGTGAAATGTAGAGAAAGAAAATCAAACACAGTGGTGGAAAAGACGTTCAAGGCAAATGTTAGAACAAACTGTCGGCGCGAGGGATATTTTCAGCGAAGATTGATCTCAAGTGCTGCATCAAGAGAGACTGAGAAACCTAAGGTGGGTGTGAAGAGCTCGTCGTGGTAAATGAAAACGATGGCAAAGCTGATGAAGAAGAGGTAGAAGTTGAATCATGGTAAAAGCTTTGTCAAGGTATTGTTGGGTCAAGTCCGTGAGTTGTGGAAAGATCATGTCCCGAGGGCGAGTCAATCGGCAAATCAGGATACCGCGTGTGAAGAAGCCAGCAAGAGCCATGTCTGGAGAACCCGCTGTGCGATTGCTCCGGATCAGTGTAAGGTGAGGTGGTTGTCGAAAGGTAATAGTGCGTTGCGAGGTAGAAAGAGTAAAACCAAGGAGGGTCTCATCGGCAACATACTCCATCTCAAGTGGTCTGCCATAAAAGAAGGGTTGAGCAATGGCTTGGAAGGAGTCGGTGTGGAGCATGTGGGCAGGGCCAAGGAAGAAGACATTGTCAACGTAGCGTGCGCGAAGTGCCAATCCAGTGGCATAGCGCCAGGAAGAGCTCGGGAAGGAGCTTAGAAAGCAGTATTCCCGGAACAGTGCAACGGCGCTGCATAGAGCCGGTGCTAAAGGTGACCCCATGGAGGCTCCTTGACATTGCCGAAAAACGGTCAGGCCCACGGTGAAGTAAGAAGACTCCAGTAGATGATGCACCAAATCTGGTAAGTCACGAAGGTGGATAGGGTGATAGGAGCGAGAGGTCTTGCG